CATTAAATCAAGTTCATTTGTAACCGGTCCCTCCTTTCCCTCTAAATCCCCCCAAAAAGGCCAGCCTCTCAAAATTAGTCAAGGAACCTGGTTCCCATGACTCGGGTTAGTAGTTCCTCTTACACTCATATGCATTTTTGAACTGCTAGTGTGCCACATCATTAATTGTTTCCACTTTTTTCCATACCTCTTAAACCCAAACGACACACCCGTTATAAAGCGACTCGTCTACCCATTCAATAAATCAAGTTCATTTGTAACCGGTCCCTCCTTTCCCTCTAAATCCCCCCAAAAAGGCTAGTCTCTCTCATAACTGTCTACACCAAACACACCTTCTCTCTAAAACCCCTCTTTTTGTGTCTCCACTCTCCAAATTCTACCATGTCTTTACCGCAATCTGAGCCTCCAAAGGCCACCACTGAAATCCCTGTTGTGTCTTCGTTCCATGAAGCACAACCATCAGGATCGAAGCCCCAACCTTCACCCTTAGAAACCCTAATTTCCAACCAACCACCACCTCCAGTTTCCTCCCCCACTCCATCCAGTTCTGGTTCCCATCGCAACGAAAAAAAATCAAACTCCTAAAAAGTTTGTTGCTTCTTCCTCACCTTCTGTTACCATAGAGAAAATGGAAGTAGGGGGATATTCGTCCACCTTCCATTTTCTCCAAACCACAGAAGAACTAGTGGAAGGAGATAACGGTGCAGAGGTCTCTAGTCAACGCGTCAAGGAAGAAGTTGTGGACAAAGTAGTCATCACTGGTCCGGATGGTGATGTATCAGTATCTGGTATATCTGAAACCCTAATCGTTCAGGGGATTTATCTGAATATTCTATCGTCATCAGGTAATGCTCCACTCGCTCTTACTGATATTGCATTGTTGGATAATTAGGGTGAGAAAGATGAAAATGTTTTGACCGTTGTTGCTGAGGGAAGTCTTGTTGGGGATTCTGTGTCTGGCTCTATGAATATTGGGATTCAGGGGGAAGTACGAGGGAATGGGGACCAGGTGCCTCAAGGTGACAAGGCACCGATCAGTACTATGGGGGAGCTTATAGAGGGACCTGGTCCCTCTACCCAAGAGGAGTTCTCTGCTCCCACTTGGGATGAATCTCCATGCTCCACTAAATAGCCACTGGACAATACTGACCCTACCTCTTCCCCTCACCTTGATGCAACCCCTTTAGACATTATGTACCCTGAAATGAAGGAAAAGGAGAAGAAGAATGAGATGAAAGTAAGTAGGATTATGACAATTTATCTGTAGCCTAGTTCATAACTGCTATGAGTGGTGGGACAACTACTCAAAGGTCTGTTCCTAAAAGACCCACCACTAGGAAACAAAAAAAAGTTGCTTTTGACAATGCTCTAAAGAAGAAAAAAAAGAGAAGAAGACTTGTGAAAAGTAGAAAAGTTGATGAGGAGGATCTCCCTCCGACAACTGTTGTGGAGGTTGAGGATGAAGAGGTGCATGAGGAACCTGCTCCTCTTGGCTGTAAAACATCTAAGAAGACTATGCCTGTGAAATAGAGAAAGGTATCATCTACAAAGGTTGTTGAAACTGGTGTCCAAGAAAGTGGTTAGAAAGAGATATTTAGTGAGAAGGAAAAGTCTGTTGAGAAGGAGAAAAGTGTTAGGTAAAATAAGTCTCTCAAGAGGAAGCCAAGCGGCAATGAGGAACCTAGTTCCTCAAAGAAGGCGAAAGTTGATGTCTCTGAGATTGAAAGGAAAGCAAAACTGAAAAAGTAAAAAAGTCCTGTGGGGTAGAGTTTTTGACACTAATATTCTTGATATGTCAGGCATGAGGCAGTTGGTTGAAATCTGCGACTTCCAAAAGTGAACTTATCTCTTTACTGTTTAGAGTCCAAAGGCTTATGAGGAGGAAATACGTAGTTTTTATGCTGATTTGTTCACAGTGGAAGGTGACACCATATATTTGAGGGTCAATAAGGTGGACTTTGTGATTGATGAGGTTGTGCTCGAGGATATTCTTGAGGTGCCTGCTGAAGGGCTCTCAATTATAGAGGGAACCTGTTCCCCAGGTTTTAGGAAGCTTATTCTCAAGCCTCAAGCTGTTCAACAAGGGGAACGAATGCATAAGAAGGCACTGCTTCAAAAATACCAACTCCTATTCGAGTTGGTGAACAAGGTCATGCTACCAAGAACTGAAAGGCGATACATTACCTCTATAGAGGACCTGGTTCTTTTGGAGGCACTGGACGACTACACTCTCATCAATCTGCCTGGGATTTTGATTGAACACATGAAGAAGGTGGCAGACTTCAAGGATAGAAATCATGGGTTGGCATATGGGTTCCTGCTCACAAAAGTCTTTGAACGTTTTGAGGTCCCCCTAGGAAGAGCAGTTGTAGGAACTTGCAAGAAAATGTTCTCAATGAACACCTTGGAGGAATGCGATTGTATTGACAAAAAGAGGGGGATAAGCAGCAGCTCTACAATCTCTCAACTCATCGATGCTCAGAGTATAGTCAGTGAGGAAATTAGGAGGCTGAAGGCCCAGAATGCCATTCTTGAGGGTAAGCTCAATCAAGCCAGCACTGAACTTGGTTCTAGTAGTGCTCAGGGTGCAGAAATTGCCTGCTTGACGGTTGAGAATACTAATTTGAGAAAACATGTGGAGAACCTGAAAGAGCGGCTGATCAATGAGCAGGGAGCTGTTAATGCTCGTGTGGATGGTCTCCTCAAGGCTCTTGCTCCCTCGTCCTTCCCCTCCTCTTCTAGTGCCCCCTAATTTGTCCCTTTGTCAGTGTCCCTTTTGTCAGTCCCTGCTAAATTATACAATGCCCTTTTTTTTATATGTCCCCTATTGTTGTGGTACTCTAATAATGTTTAATTAGTGTATGTATTGTAAATGATAGTACTGCTAAAATGTTTTTTCCTTCCTTTATTTAATGAACATCTCACTCCTTTTTAAATGCATGTTATATTCTTGTATTCTATTTTTAGCTATGTTGTGTGTACACAAGTGGTATGAGTTAACTTTTTTGGACTTTTTTTTTGCATATACTTGTCTGTTCTTTTGTGATGCCAAAGGGGGAAGAAAATTGAAGGGAGAAACAGGTTCTCAGGGGGAATATGACTATTCTGCGGGGGGAATCATACGGAGATCTGGTTCTCAAGGGGGACTTCAATTTTAAGTTTGACATCATCAAAAATGGGAAAATTGATAAGTTATGTGCCTTTGTGTTTTAATGATTTAATAAAATTCATATAAGTACCAGATAGGGAATTTGATACAAAGTCTTTATGTGCTCGGAACAACAAGTCACATGTCTGGCACAAGTTCCAATGATATCAGTCAAGGGAACATCAGAGGGAACAAATGGCTATCAGTTCCTCTGGTCACAATACAAGTCAACTCTTTACAGCTGTTAAATCTACAACACTGTAGACGCAACAGTG